TTCTGTACTCGACTGAAGAAGCCTACTGTGTAGGCGAAACGTTTCGAAATAAAGATACCTAACTGCTGCATATGTGTCTTACCTAACAACCTGTCGGTATTTTATACCATTTTAATGTTCAGACAAATGTTTGTCTGTCGTCTTCTTCTTCTTCTCTTTCTTCTTCTCCTTCTCCTTCTTCTTCTTCTCCTTCTTCTTCTTCTTCTCCTTCTTCTTCTCCTTCTCCTTCTTCTCTTTCTTCTTCTCTTTCTTCTCCTTCTTCTTCTTCTTCTCCTTCTTCTCATTCTTCTCCTTCTCCTCCTACTTCTTCTCCTCCTCCTCCTCCTCCTCCTTCTGCTCCTCCTCCTTCTTCTTCTTCTTCTCCTCCTCCTGGCTCTGAGACAGAGAGCTAGACAGGTAGACAGCTGCCCCCCTCCCTCCACCCTCGTTTACGCTCATCAGAGGTCAGCTCTTATCAGATGTTATCTCCCCTTATCTTGTCACTGTCATGGGGTGAACTGTTTTCCATGCTTCAAGGGAACATATTATTACATATTATTATTATTAGGTATTATTATTATTCTTCTCCTTCCTCTTCTTCCTCCTCTTCCTCTTCTTCTTCTTCTTCCTCCTCCTCCTCCTTCCTCCTCCTCCTCCTCCTTCCTCCTCCTCCTCCTCCTTCCTCCTCCTCCCTCCTTCCTCCTCCTCCCCCTCTTCCTCCTCTTCCTTCCTCCCTCCTCCTCCACCTTCCTCTTCCTCCTTCCTTCCTCTTCCTCCTTCCTTCCTCCTCTTCTTCCTCCTCCTCCTCCTCCTCTTCCTCCTCCTCCTCCTCCTCTTCTTCTCCTCCTCCTCTTCTTCTTCTCCTCCTCTTCCTCCTCCTCCTCCTCCATTGCTTTTGGTCTCAAACTCCTCAAAATCATGAAATTGATCTTCACTGACACTTCCATCTGTGTTAGAGCATCACTTGGGAAGAGAAGAGTCCCAGATTTGCTGGGGAGTCACATATTTCTTACCGCTAGACATGCTGAAAAAGGACGACTGAAATGGTATTCCCACAATGCACCACTGGCTCCCCGATTTTTTTATATGGTGCACACTGACCATGGGGACCCATTCTCTCACATGTGGGCCTACCAGCTTTCTCCTGCTTGATTTGAAGCCGCTAGAATTTATGCATATAGATACGTCAAACACGGTATCTATGACGTATATATACGACCGCAACAGTCAAAGGGTTAAACTGCATCTGCCACTTCTCCGACCACTGCATCAGTCTATTCAAATCATCCTGAAGTGCTCTAATGTCCTCATTAGAATGAACTGGACGGCCTATTTTCGTGTCATCAGCAAATTTGCTTATGTTGTTATTTAATCCCTCATCTATGTCATTTATGTAAACTGTGAACAACAAGGGGCCCAACACTGACCCCTGTAGAATACCGCTTGTGATGTGCCCTCATTCTGATTTCTCCCCATACATGCAAACTCTCTGCTGCCTATTTGTCAACCATGCCTCCACCCAGGAAAATATTTCTCCTCCTATTCCATGTGCTTTAAGTTTTCTCAACAGCCTCTGATGTGGAACTCTATTGAAAGCCTTACTGAAGTCCATATAAGAACATAAGAACATAAGAGGAGGAACACTGCAGCAGGCCTGTTGGCCCATATTAGGCAAGTCCTTTACAATCCATTCCACTAACAAAACATTTGCCTAACCCAATTTTCAATGCTACCCAAGAAATAAGCTCTGATAACTCTATCCACTCATTTGCAAGTCCCACTCAAATCCAACCCCTCTCACTCATATATTTATCCAACCTAAATTTGAAACTACCCAAAGTCCTAGCCTCAATAACCCAACTAGGTAGACTGTTCCACTCATCAACTACCCTATTTCCAAACCAATATTTTCCTATGTCCTTTCTAAATCTAAACTTGTCTAATTTAAATCCATTACTGCGTGTTCTCTCTTGGAGAGACATCCTCAGGACCTTATACAGTGGACCCTCGACCAGCGATATTAATCTGTTCCTGAGAGCTCATCGTTAATCGAAATTATCGTTAGTCGAGTTAATTTTCCCCATAAGAAATAATGGAAATCAAATTAATCTGTGCGGGACACCCCAAAGTATTGAAAAAAAAAAATTGTACCACATGAAATATTAATTTTAATACACACAAACTGAAGAAGACATGCACAGTTACATGACACTTACCTTTATTGAAGATCTGGTGACGATTGATGGGATGGGAGGAGGGGAGAGAGTTGATCTTCTTAGTGTTTAGAAGGGGAAATCCCCTTCCATTAGGACTTGAGGTAGCAAGTCTTTTTCCGGGGTTACTTCCCTTGTTCTTTTAATGCCACTAGGACCAGCTTCAGAGTCACTGGACTTCTGTCTCACAACATATCTGTCCATAGAGGCTTGTACCTCCCGTTCCTTTATGACATTTCTAAAGTGTTTCACAACATTGTCAGTGTACAGGTTGCCAACACAGCTTGCAGTAGCTGTGTCAGGGTGATTATCATCCATAAAGGTTTGCACTTTA